GGAGTAAAAGAAATTGAAGCCATGATGGAGGAGCTGATGATGAATGCGCTGCACTTGGGTTTTCCTGGATATTTTAGCAGTTTACTTCCGAATCTTTCATGACTGGTGATGCTGTGCACACGTGGTGTGTGTTAAGTATAAATCTAAAATTACTCTTCAAACCATCTGGTAAAACCTTAAATACTGTCATCAACAATTGTTCCCAGCATGTTGAGAGCAATTTGATGGATAGACACTCTGAGAGTGTCCGTTTACACTATGCCTTCCCCAATGAGGTCACAATGCAAAGTTAGCATCTGTGCGTGTGCCATGCCAACATAATGTGAGTTGTTATAGCTGACACAGGAAATTACAAGCCATATGTATCTATGAGATATATATATATATATATATATATATATATATATATATAGGAACAGTGCAATGGTGTAATTTCATGCACGGGTTTTTTTTGCCTCAGAATTAATGCTAATGTTTTTAGCTCATGAGCAGTGTGGACACTTTTAGAGCTATGGAAGCTTGAGTGCAACATGTGAATCTTCAGATACAAAAAAAACAGATTGTATCCACAAACAGGAAAAAGGGCTCAGAACTAATTTCTCTAAACAGCCTTCTCCCCTGTCTGCACATGCCTCTTGAGGATTCGGTTTTGATTTGGCTTTTAAAGCAAGCCAGAGCTCAGCTCACGTCGTGTGTGTGTGTGTGTGTGTGTGTGTGTGTGTGTGTGTGTGTGTGTGTGTGTGTGTGTGTGTGTGTTTGTGTGTGTGTGTGTTTGTGTGCTTGTATGTTCCAGACTGACTTTGATGGGACTAAACATCCAAATTGGTATTTGCTGTGGAAGACAGCTGTGTCTGGCAGCAAGTCATTACATTTGTGCCTTGAATGAAACCAGAGACAGAAAACATAGTTTTGTGCTCCCTATTTTCTCTTCCAAGAATATAGTTATGTAGTACAAAGTAATATATTAGCATTTCTAGGCTGATATTTTAAAGTCCAAGATAATATTTCCTTTTCACAGATCATCTCAATTTCAATTTTGAAAGTAAGGAAGCGTACGAATATGCTGTTTGTGCCATCTGCACAGTTGTGGGCTGCCTTCACTTTCCTCTCGGGCACACAGAGGGATATTTCACAAAGCGAGCTTGAATGGATGCCAGTTGAATTACTAATGATACTTGGTGTAAAATGTATTTAATGAATGAAGAATTTATTATAGTTCTCTTTAATTTAAGAAATTCCTTTATTTAAAATACTAGACTCTTAAATTTTAGTTTGAGCATTTATGCATTTAAGCTTTCTTTACAAATGAGCCTCAATCCATGTGACAGCAGATCAAGGAGAAGCCATTGAGAACTCACTTTACAGTGAGGTAAAACAATAAGGTGTTGCTTCAAATTTAGAATTTTCAAACTTTCGGCGGGCCTCCATTTTTCTGGCAACACTGAGACGAAATGCGAATGTATGACATGTTGGAATGACGCAGTTGGCAGTTGAATCACAACACAGCATTACACATAAAGACTTTTCATGTAAAGATATATCTTGTCAGCCGACACTAAAGGTTCAGCTACAGAAAAAAGTGTTATTTCACTGAAAACTTCAGATGGGTGTCTGGTGCATGTGTGTGGTAAACTAGCGAACACTGTTTGTGTGAGTGCATGCAGGCCCACTGTACTGTGTGCTCTGTGTGTACCTCAGCGTTTGAGGGAATATGCAGAGCTGCAGAAATGAGGCATAGCACTGACTGATGCTGCCGACCTCTCTGCTTCACAGAACTGGCTTTTCTATCAGATAGACAGCTTGACAATATCCAGACCCCACTCTTTCCGCTGCACTCAAAGGCCCGCCAACACACGCACACACACACACAGGCACATACACACACACACACACATGTAGGCAAACGCTGTTTTCTGGGTTTGTTCTGCTTGTTTCTAACTGGACTGTTTGTGAGATAAAAGATACGTTTGTAACTGAGTGAGTACAATAAAGTCTAACCTCTTAGACAGGCTTTCATTGTGTTGTGTGTAATTCAGAATTGTGAGACTCATTTTGTAAAATATTACAACACGAGAAGCTGTCATTCCTAAAAAAACAGCAAACTGAATAATGATGTTGACTCAGAGAGATTATTCAATGTCAGCGGGATGAGCACCATTTGTTACTGACATGATACTTCTGTAAAAGCAATGGCTTGGTGGTTTGATTGATTGTCTGTGTTTGTGAAGCAGTAGATCATTTGTATTGTTCCCATTTGGAAGAATTATTTTCCAATAACAGTAAGTGCTGTTACAGTATTGAACTCTAAATTCCCCATTTGCCACCGAGCCACAGATGTGATAGTAACAGCTCACACACACACACACACAGACACACACACGGTATGTGAGCATGTGCGTACACACAGTTTCACTGTGTTTTGGTAATGTCATTACTTTTCGCCTGACTGCGATCACATATTTGTAGCTTCGGGGCTTTCTAGTGTCTGCATAGGAGCTCTTTGATGTTTGGCCTTAGTGCTCTGCAGATTTCCTGACACCAGGAGGGTGAATCTACCCAGCATCCCTTTCTCTTTGGAAGAAGATGCCCTGCTCTTGTCAGGCGATAAATGAGAGCTCGGCTACACTGGCCAGTAATACTACACTTCCTCCTCGGGCTAGTAGCTGTTGTTATTGTGTGCCACCGAAACAGAAACTGGCTAACTGAGGATTAACCACCATTAAAAGGATAAACTGTTCTCAGGGAATGTTTCTATTGTTTGTCCTGTTTACCCAATAGACAAACTCATGGCTAGCTGTAGCTTAGCTAGTGTATGTTCCAGCTCCTCTGAATACAAGGGGAAGCCCAAAGTAACCTCAAATGTCTTGTTTTGTACAACCAAATGTCCCAAAATCTCAAAAATATTCATTTCAATTATGATATGACAAAGAGAAGCAGCAATCGACTAATCATTTCAGCTCCATCTACTACATATAGAGATTCATAACCAGTTGATATTACCATATAACTAAAATGATGTAACTTCTAAACCACTTTCAGCTTCCAAGCCCTACCTTTGACCTCATCATTCAACATATCTTTAAGTGGCAGAGGCAGAAGAAAGTTCGCTATGAGTTCGTCTGCTGCTGGTTAAGAAGAATCAATCGAAAAATTCTCCAGGAACCAAACTGACACATAAACACAGAGACATTCATTTATTGGTACATGCTGCTCTTTAGACCTGCCGGCAGAGAAACAAAATTTGTAGCGGCTTGGGGCATTTCATGATGCCTTTGTGATGTGTGTGCAGGGCTGCTAGCTGTGAGTTGGAGCGAGGCTGGTTGCCTTCTGCTCAGATCTCAGGTGAGGAAAGACCTGGAATCACTCATCCTGACAGCCACATCTGGCGTTACTTTCTCTGTCCTGCTGCCCTCGACTCTGCTCCTGCAAACAGACACCACTCTAATTTCACCACAGAGGGAAGGAGTTATGATAATAGCAGTTATGATAATAAAGTTATTGGTGGTTATTAATGAGATGGAGAACAGTTTACTTAGTAGACATGCACTCCCGACGAGCGCTGTGTGTAATAGAACCATTGTTACCGCTCGCAATTTTCTTTGTTTTCAGGCTTTGTCCTGCCGTTACTGGAAAGCGAATGAATACCAGGTGCAACGAGCATTCTCTGTTCTCTTTATTTGCACCGTGGATTATACATGACCACTGGTCTACTGGATATAAAGACCTGCAGTAAATTCTGAATAAAAAAAACACATTTGCCTTGAAGCGTGACTTAACAAGCATTGTTCAGCGTTCCAATTTATTCAGTCTCTGACTTAAAGCCAGACGTTTGTATCCCTCACGTCCATTTATTAAATATTATACAGCAATACCTCGCACCTTTTACATGACCGTAACAGTTCGACATGTATCCAGAAGAATAACCTCACATGCACCCTGGTCTGCGCTGCTTTAGTCTCCATTCCGCGTTGGACGGACTAATCGGTTGGCAAGCTCAGCTGGTGCCAAACCCACTGTTGAGGACACATGTTGCCAAATGCCAGGACCAGACGAGCACAAAGTCTTCATCTGTTTCCTAGGAAGTAAGGATTAGATGTCGGGGTAATAGTTACGTTAATGGAATGACCAAACTGATTCTATTTCAATACAAGAGGTATCCAGGAGCAGCCTGCAGCCGCACATTAAAATATTAACATACACTTTTGGCACTCTCACCATATGCCAGCATCTGTGGTAGGGCCCTTTACTGAGCGGTGAGAACAATATTTTTTGATGGAGACAGCAGACATAAACTTGAGTGAGTAGTCGGCTGCAGAGCAACAGCAGGAGTCCATGATGGGAAAACTGTCTTTCTGCATTCTCACTGAATGTTGCGGAAGACGAGACTCTGCTGTCATGTGCACGAACACAAAGTTCAATACCTGGCACATGACAAATGATTGCCAAAGAAATCCCAGCGGTAGCTCGCAGTTTATTCAAAATACAGGACACGCAAAATTTCCATACACAATACTGCTGAGAAATTTTATATTCTTTTAAGTGTATACGTTACAATTTACTGAGGTTGAAGATTTTAGGAGAAGCCACCCTTTTTTTGAGAGTCACATGAGAACTAACTTGTTTGTTTAAATGGACAAACCCAATGTTTTTCCAATATATTGTTTTTATTTGGTGACCTACCACTTTCTTTTACTCTTTCTCAGCATTGAAAACCTGAAGAATGCTTTATAACACAATACCACCCGTATTGTTAATTAGGTCTTAACCAGACATGTTGCGTGATGACTAAACTGTTCTTTTATTTATGTTAAGATGTCACAATAAAAACATAACTTTTAGTTTGTACTCAAAGGTGAAAAACACAGTTTATTGTATTTGTTTATATTCGCTTAATTTACACAACAAAAATAACCAGACATAGCTGAAAATATAGGTGGTTATGGTACTTCCAGGTGCGTAAAAAGAATCAAAGTTACAACTGCTTTGTGGGTTTCTCCCAGCCAGGTCTTTAGACAAACTGTACAATTTTGCCGACTGTGCTGGTCTGCACCTGATCCTGGGGCTCAACGCGCTGCACAGAAACCCAGACAACTCCTGGAACACCTCCTCTACGCTGAGCCTCCTCAAGTACGGTGCTGGCAAGAAGTACAACATCTCCTGGGAGCTGGGCAACGGTCAGTACAGCTACACACCACATGCTTCCTAGATAACGTGCTGAACTATTTGTCACTTTTATTACACAATTAACATAATTTCAATGAAGGACTTTCACTTTTTAATAAAGGATTTTTAGTCCACTTCCCCACTAAAGCTGTGCTATGAAAAAGCTGTTACACAAGTTGTTCATTTAACATTTACTGGCAGTGACAGCTTTTATTAGAGACATTAAACAGATAGTGAGCTTTAAGTGAGAGTCCAGCAGTTTAAGGGTTACGGTGAGGGTTCAGTCAGGGATGAAAGGGACTGCTAGTCCTCATGTCATCCTAACCATCTGTGTTTCTGGGGAGCTGCAGTGCACACAAAGCCCTGTGTTTCTCTGCTGCACATAACTTCATATTTTCATTTCATCTGCAATAAAGCTCTGAATTCAAACGCTTTTTTAGCCTAAAAGTAGCATGGAAAATCTTTTGATTGAACATTTTAATGAGGACTTGAACCGCAGCAAAATATTAGTTTGGATTAATCACCCAGACAGTGAAGACACAGCAAGTTTGTGTTCAGGAATATAGCACAGATACAGCTACACACACACACACACACACACACACAGAAAACAGACATGTTAAAGTTTTATTTTGCAGCTCAAACACAACTTGTTGCAGATAATCACAATGCTCCTAAGAAGAGTGTTTTCTTCCATGTGTGGAAACTATCTCCCTCGCTGTCTATGTTTTACTGATTCTGCAAGGCGACCCTCTGTGCTTGGACCATTGATCTGACACTGAGTCCATCTGTCTGTATTACTGTGAATTGCCCAATTATCCCTTTTTCTAGTGGCTGTTGGATACTCTCTAGGAGAGTGTGATCAGACTACTACAACAACAATATTCTTCTCCACCTCCCCAATGTTGCTTGTATAAAGTCCATCTCTCTGGCTCAGTGTACTGCATCTCCTCTCTCCAGAGCCTAATGCCTACCGCAGCATGGTGGGTCGTGCGGTAAACAGCACCCAGTTGGCACAGGACTACATCAAGCTGCGGACCCTGCTGCAGTCTGTGCGCTACTACCACCGGGCTCACCTCTACGGCCCCAATGCAGGACGACCTCGCAAGAACGCCATCCTGCTGCTGGACGGGTGAGTCAGCAAGTAAAACACTGACTGGGCGGGATTCCTGTCTGTGTTAGGCTATCCTGCTGGAATCAATGGGGTAAGGTAGTGGAAAGTATGCTGCAGCAGTTTGGGACTTTTTGCAGAACTTTACTGTGTTTAACACGCACACACGTACACACACATTGTAGTAGTGTTCGGTGTTTATGGATTTCCACTCTGCAGGTTTCAGCGTCCCAGCTCCAGTTATACCACGTCAACCTAAATAAAGTGTCATCTGATTGATAACGTGACGGCGCAACGTCCCACCTGCTGGTTTTACCCAGAAGCTCCACCAGTTTCGGTCAGACTCTTATTTAACAGCCCTCTCTCAACTGCAGCTTGTCCCCTCGTGAGATCATAACGTCATAAATTTATCGCAAAAAAGACCAGTTGTGTACCTTTTTTTTTCTTTTCTTTTTTTTTAAACTAACATGCATTCAGATTAACTGCTTATCTTCTGGGCAGCTATTGATTCCATTCAGGTCAATATTTAAACAACTTGTAAAGACACTAAACTATATTATTTCCACATGGTAAGGAGGGTATTTCTTGTTCATGCTTTCAAGTGCAAAGTCTTCTGCCAGCAAACATTGCGTTCACAGGCTACGCTTTATGGAAAATAAAACACAGAAGACAAACAAAACACAAAAATCATATTAATTAGGTGACCTTTTATTTTTTTTTACATCAAAGTTATAAAATTGCCTAACAAATGTTTAACATAGGTGCTGATCAGGTGTGCAGGCTACTTTTGGATGTTAGTCTGCCTTAGTTTGTTAAAACTCCTTTTAGAGAAAAAAAAAAAAGAGGCTTTCCCAGTTCAAATAGATGACGACATCTCTCAAACATATTTATCACTTCCAAAAAAGTTAAGCTTTTCTGAGCTTTTCTGTCTGTTGCAATGTTTTCTTTTTCCTGATTGAGAAAATACCTCAACACCACCAAGAACATAAAACTTGAATTAAGATTATTGGGTTAACAAGTGGAGACCCTTAACTTTAACTCCTAAATTTTGCATTTCTAAGCAGAATGTGAAGTAGTCGTAAGCAGCTCCTCCTGTGGGCACCCATACGTGGAGGATGGTGATAAACAGATAATTAGTTACAACATAGTAAAATCCAGTTGTAAACATGTCCTCAGAGGCAATGCTGTAAATGTTGACAGGTATTGTGCGTTAATAAATATTCACAAAATGTCTGCTTACAAATACATTAAAGTGTTAGTGTGCAATAATGCATGATATATGATATATAGGGGGCATTAGCAAGTTAATTTAAAGTTGAAATACCTTATTCAAATGTTCAGTGTGTAATGTATCTAAATGAAAGTTTCACAAAACATGACAATATTGCTAATATTGTGTCCACAGCAACAACTAATGGACATTTCTCTCAGGCATCGGTGAATGAATACAGATGAAATGATGCAATACATTTCATGATTATTGAGTAGACAGGTTACAGTTGGCAACCATCAACAATAAACTTTCTGTTCTGGGTGGCTGAAAGTAAGCTGTAATCAATGCTCTACTGGTCTGTCATCAGAGATTGAAGGTATATATTTCTACACAGGTAACAAGACAATTAGAAGTGACAGAGCGGAGGAGGAATATGTAGCTCTGGCTTTAACAGGCATTGTTAAATAAACGGGGAACAGCATTCCTTTGAACCAAAATGGAGACCATAAAGTTAAACGAATGTGTGCCGAAATGATGCGCGCCTCTGCAAGTGTGTGCAGATACACACACACACACACACACACACACAAGAGGAACAGTTTAATGTCTCAGTATATCTCAGACCTGAATCTGTCTCCAGCTCCTCTTTGCAACCACACACAGTTTGACAGGTAGTTGGAAGACCGAGCAGAAAGAATAATTTGATACGGGTCTCTCTCCTCTATGTGCTTGAGCTACTTACATCACTGAAACCATTAGGAACTGCTGTTTATCTCACCGGGTACTGACAGTTCAAATTTACTCAGAAATAAAAGGAGTGTGTTTGTGTGCACTGATGTGTGTATGTGTACTCTACAGTTCAGACTGATTTATTAGAAGAGGAGTGGGAGGATGTAGAAGATGAGTGGCGAGAAGAGGAGGAGGAGGAGGAGGAGGAGTGTGAGGATGAAGAGGAGAGAGCTGGAGTATCCACGGGTCACTCGTGACACATTTAACGACGGGGTGATTCTTGTGTGTTTGACACTGTTACGAGGGGATGGCTCTTGTGTTTGACAGCCCAACTACTCTGCCGCTCTCAGGAAATAAGATGAATTAGACACTGAGCTGCTCAACAGTCCAAATATCAGAGCTGGACAGACTAAACAAGCCAGAGCGGTGAAAGTTTAGAGACACACACAGTTGGGCATGTCTGACAAGCTGTTACTCCCAAATATGGAGAGATTTGGGTCAGGTAGACTCGGGGGGGGGGGGGGGGAAAACACACAGAAATGCAAAAGCTCGGAAAGAGGAAGGCATACCGCAGGAGGGATTGTGTATATGTTGGGTTTGTGTACAGGAATGTGTTTTTAACTAACTGAAAGCAAACTTTACAGCCTGCAGAAACAGCTCCAGAAAACACTGTAGTCATGTTTACTGTTTTATAAAACTAGTAGGGCTTTAAACTCGTTTTTTTTCCTCAACTTTTTTCAAAACAAGCCTGCATTGCACTCTGTCTGTCTGCCTTAAAAATTCCTGCAATAGTTCCATGTCCTCATATACCCAGGTATTGGCAGTTAAGTTGATGGTTAAACTGTTATCGTAACATTATTGGCCATTAGAGTGAAAATAAGGCCCAGTTTGTAAAACATAAAATGTTTGAAGAAAAGGCGCCACACTCTAACTCTTAACTCTGTCTTTCTGACTTTCAGGTTCATGAAGAATGCTGGCTCTGTTGTAGATGCAGTTACGTGGCAACAGTAGGTATTTTACCCTTTTTTTCTATTTTAATATTTTGTCTGTAAAAAAAACGCAAAATCAATCTGCAGACCTCTAAAAAAGACTACTCACTTAACTAACCATAAATCTAAGGACACAGGCCATGTTGTGTTTTTGTACCATTGTCACCACATTGCGTGTGTGCAGTAGCCAGTAAGAACTATTATTAACACATCTACTGACAGAGACTGATGCTTAATGAGGGGAACTGTGTTCGTCCTGTAAAGGGAACAACAGGAACAAGAGCCTGAGAGTGTGTGTGTTAAATTATTAACACCTGCCATTTGTCTGTTGCACATCCTGTAGGAATGCATACAGACATATCAATGGTTTGATCTTTTTCCCCATGTTTTATCAGTATCTCTTTTCACGCATATGTTAAACTTGCACAAAATAACACACCACTGTAGCTCAGACAAACCCTGTGTGTCTGAGTGAGTGGTCATTAAGGTGAAGGTCGGGTCTAATCAGGAGGAATTAGAAGAAACGGAAGGAGGCAGGGCTGTCAGTAAGGCTTAGAAAAACACCACCCACACTGTTAAAATCAAACCATATGCTCTGGCTCATTCCCTCAGTCAATTAGCCCGCTTTACACTCGAGATCCAGATTCCAGTCTAACCAGCCTGCGTGACAGCAACTCTGACCTCTACAAAAGAAGCCAAACGCATAAAAGTGGAGACCACTCATTAACACGTCTAGGACGCAGGTTTTACTCCACTGCGGCTGGCTCAAGTTGTTTTGAATCAAGCGTAGTAGGATGGAAACAGAGTCAAGTTATGAAGCGAGTCGTATGGATTTGTTAGAGATCGAGTCAGTCTGTGGCTAATGGTCAGACGTGTTCTGATGGAGCTTGTGGTGATGAAACATGCTGGTTATGTAGTGAAAGGTGTGTGTACCTCCAGGTCATGAAACATTGATAGGTGGTTTGTATTATGTGATGTTTTTGTCTCAGTTACTGCTTATCCGACATGATCAGTGTAGTCATTCTCTTTCTGTGACTCTTTATTTTTTAAATAAAGAAATGTGAAAAAGATAATAACCAGTCATTCTGTTGCCAATCCATGCATATTGTCAGCCTACAAGGTATTTTTGTTTGCATCAGAAACATAATCACTAAGATTGTGAAGATAGCCAGTTCGTTTTATGAGTATGTGTACACAGTTGCAGGCAAAGGCTAAATGCATTGCACTTCTTGTTGTGACTGCACCTTGGATATTATTAATTACATTTTTTATTTTGGGCACTAAAGTCTTTCACCTTTGCATGTGAAAGACATTTTTGTCATGGCCTTGTGGTCGCTGTTATTAGGCTTACAGCTATTTTGATGAATATAATTTGGCCAAGTTCAATTAAAAACTCCATAAATTATATTGAATGTGAAATAAAAAAAAATTAAATGAGAACTTCCTTATGAAGTAGCTCTGAACTAATGATAATCAACAATTTTCTTAGCCACAATACATATTTGTCAAGCTCCCACTTAGCACCAGGAGAGAAGAAGTCCTGGCGCCAGCCATAACTGCTGTCATAACAGTACAGCCTCAAAGAGCCGTTAGCATGACTGTAGACTCCTAGTCTTGTTTTAGGGCTTTGAGTGCCACAAATAAAATTAGATTTGCTGTGTTATATTGGAGTGTTGGCAAAAAAATCAGATATGAACATCGCAAACATGGCCAAATAAAACCAGAACTATCTGCATTATTAGATACCATTCGACAAAAAAATGTAATATCAAACACCCAACTATAACACCCGCACCTTCTAACCTAAACTCGGTGAACATGGGACAGGTTCTGCCTCGTGGTGAGAGAATTAAGTCAGTGAAACGTGTGAAGACTTCCAGTTCTAGCTGTAAAAATACAAGCATAAAAATGAACAAGACAAATTTACGATTTACTGTTTAAATCTCCCTTGAGCAACACCATTAATGTGAGCCGTACAGTAATTGTTACAGCGGTGGGGTATTAGTGGTGTGAACCAAGCAAGCAAAAGCCCCCAGCTAAACTCATTTTGATAATGAAGTGATGAAGGTTTTAAAGGCCCTTGCTCAGAAGCATTGACTTTTTACTTTTTTTCAGAAACATATTATGTTCATCAGTTTTGCTCAGCTACACGCATCACACTTGAATGCCTCTCGTTCATTGTGTACCATTCAGAGTGAGAGTGGTACTGCATGCCAGAGATCGGGGTGTGCTGGTTATTTACAGCTGAGGGGAGGAAGAAGAGATGTCAATGATTTGTGATCTCCTCCTCCTTTCTAGTCAGAAAAGACTGTAAATTCACTGATGGCATTCCTGAGGGAATCTATATATATATATATATATATATATATATATATATACACATCCTTCAGCTGTTATGTAATGATTAATCTGAGGATAGCCTGCTGGTACACATCAAGGAACACATCATCATCTTCCAATGCGACCCTTCCGCTCACCCCAAATCTCTTGCAACACCAGCTGGCCATTCCTTGACACTTGATGTTATTACAAGTAAACTGTTATAGAGTATACTCGTGCTTTATTTGAATAATTACATTATACACCACTTCAGCTTGATAGTATAGTATAATTATTATAATGATCTTTTCCTTTACAGAATCAGAGTTTGTTGAGGGGAGAGACACATGCAGAAATTGCTCACCAGGAAAAAACACTTTGACACTAAAATATGCAGCATGATATAACTAAGATTAAGGTCTGAAAAGTTAAGCCAATGCCGAGACTTGCATTCTTTCTGAGGGGTTAATGAGAAAATGACCCTATTATTACCTCAGTAAACATTGAAAACACAGGTTTATGGTCTCAGTCGTTAGTTTAATGTTTTCTTCAATAGAGCAATGATGTTCATTTAGTAAATGATGGTCCCATTTAGAGTCAAATAGACGATGACGCAGGGTATGCTTTATGATGTGGCTACCTTGTGATTGACAGGCTGCTACCACAACGTTGTCCAGTCTGGGAGTTGACCGTGTTTTTAGTTTTACAACTTTAACCCTGTCAGTGTGTTTTTAGTTCATTAAAGATAATTGTAACCTTTTTGCCTGCCTAAAAAATGTCTTATTCAGTGTTCGGTTGTACTTGGCTCCACCTTCTCATGTCACTTCTGGTTGCAAAAAAAAACAAGATGGTGATGGCCAAGATGCTGAGTTCAAGGTTTCAAAACGTCAATTTGCTCTGTTGTGTTGGAGTGTTGGCAAAACACAAGGCACTTGATTTGGAGAAGATGTGACACTGCAACAACCAAATAACAATGAGTCCTCTGTTATCATCATCTAATGCAACATATTAATGTGAAAGGCACAATTATTCCTCAGTACTTTAGATACTTAAGATTTAATATAGTAGTACAATTAAAATGTAGGTCTTTTAGGTTGAGTTACGGTATTGATACTCATCACATCTGTTTCTTTCCGCCCATGTCTGACATATGATTACATCTATTTCTTCTGCAGTCTGTACTATATCTCTATTTTAAGTGCTGGATAGTTTTGTTCGTGAGCTGTCTTTGATGTGGTGCCAGCACAGTGAGAGCTGTGCTTTTGTCAGAAAACATTTGGACACAGTGTTGTTACATTTTTGCATTTCATTGAATTCTGTTCAGTCGGGCAGCTTACGTATCAAGCCAGATTTAGGAAGAACAAAGGAAGAGTTCTTGGTTCTGTTTTAGGAGCTTAGGCCTTTGACCAATTTTATGAATACCGAGCTGTGATTCCTTAAATCCTGCTCAGTATACTAAAACAACTTTCTTTACATTAATTTCTTTATCAGGTTTCTGCTCTAATGAACCATCGAAATTAAGTAAAGACAGCAAATATTGTCTTGTCCCCTTATGCTTTTACAAACGGTTGCCACAAGTCTCAGTAATACTGATCTGTAGTTGAAGATATAGCTATAAAACCTGTTCTGTATTTTATTCTCTTTCCACATATGAGCTGGAATTTCTGTCCTTGTGATCTGGACTGAAGTATTATTGTGAGCTCTCTGGAAAGATGACAGGATAACCAAATAATTTGTGTGAAGCTATGACTTAATCCATGCGTTGTTTACAGTTTGAGGCCAGGAGCTTGGGACTATTCCAACATGGTGATGACATTTTCAACGAGGTTAAGTTGAGATTGCAGCACTGTTTCACCCCACATGAATAACATTCAGCTCTGTTCTCAGCAGTTTTGTTGACGCATCAGACTTTTGGCCTTATTGTTCACAATACAGAGCATATACCATTCTTCCTTGGTATTGTCTTCCATTACGTTTGTTGAACTTTTGATTAAGAAATGTGCTGTTGACTCGCATTCTTTAAGCAACTTGATAGCATCAGTTGTAGGTCGCCTGTCATATTTTTGTGTTCTCTGGTTTTGATCTAATGATGATCTAAATTGGAGCAAAACATCTGCAGCTTTAAGCAGGACTGATCTGATCTGATACAACTGATCTGGTATTTGATTAATAACATTTGTTGCTTTTGAAGAATCGGAAGAGAAATCTGCTCGGCAATGAAACGCAGATTTTCTAAATCTCTAATGAACAGGTTTTACATCTGTTTCTGTTATTTTATTTTGTCATGGTGATGTAAAAATAATACCAATGAACGCAAGTGGATTGAATGATCTGGAACTTTTACAGTCAATGTTGTTGCCCTTATATGACATCACTGGGTTATAAAATGTGCACACATGTTTCTCTACCATTGTGATGATGATGATGTCTTTATACAAATCCAGGTGATGTGCAACGAAAGATCATCCATTAGGGTTGGATGTTCACATTAAATTCTTATCATTTAGTATTTATACCTATGAAGTTAGAAATCATGTTGCCGTCAACTAAACTGTAAATGATTTACATTTAGTGAGGTAGGTACATTGTGGACTAATATAGATAAGTTCAGCAAAACGGCACAGCCAGACTACTGAGAGAAGATTAAAACAAATACAATGTGGAGAAATGTTCGAGAAGCAATGTCATTTATATTGTTTCCTCTTTTACAGACTGTAAGATCTGGATTTACCTGACAAAGATAAGCTGGCTAATGAAGCTTAAAACACTTTAATATACCGTCTCTGATTCTTTAATAGTGACTAATAGCGCTCCTAAAGATTTTGTTTTGAAATTCAACACAGGAAGTTTGGGGATTCGGGACTCTGTTTGTCACTGTAACTAAACCAGCGAATGTATCTTTAACTGTTAACAACGTTAACAGTGTTGTTGTGTTCTTATTAATATTGATAGCATTTTTTCCCAGTGTTGATGCTTTCTTATGTTTTTACTAATCATAAATAATGTAGCATAAGTAACTTAACCTAAGAGAGCATATAGTGTCCTGACTGACTGACTGGTTGGTTGTCTGTCATTTGTTTCAACAAAACATATAGTTTAATTTTAAGACTCACTCAACAAATGTGTTTTTGCTTTGTTTTGTGTGTTTCATGGTGAAAGTTTTATGAGACATGAACTAGAGCATGTGGTTGTTGCTCTCTTGATTTTCTCTCTCTGCCTCTTGCAGCGGACTTTAAAGAGGCTTTCTGACCACGGCGTGACGTTCCTCAGCACTGACTCAATGAACCCTTCTCTCATAGTGCTCTCTAAACATCATCTCTCTGTGTGTCTTTATCTTTCACGTACACATGGATGTCTTAACTGTTCCTTTTTTATACAATCCCGCATAGAATTGGATTGTCAGTATGCTTAGGTATATTCGGATATGTCGGCCCCTGTTTATCATTGCATCTATGAGATCAATGAAAGACATACTAAGGGGTTTGGATTTTAAACCTGCAGTCTGTAATGAACCGCAGCAATGTTTACAGGGACTCCATGTTTGCGTTGCATATGTTAAGTTCTTGTTGATGTTTTGAAGTTAACGTGCATCTGACCTGCCTGGTAATGTAATGTTTAGCCTTATAGCCTTAGCCAATAGCCTCTTGACTTCACTTACATTTGCTTGACTGTCCAATATAGAGAACAATACAATAACTTCATATAATATATAGTTTTAATTCCACATCCTAGCTGTAAATTTAAATATATTTTATATTTAAGGTACACCAGATCAAACTCCAAACAGGCTAATCAGGTTAAAGGAAGGATGGATGGATGGATGAGAGTATTTCTCTCACAACATTTCCCTTGCATTTCCATTACAGTTATTACATGGATGGCAGAGTGAACAAAGTGGAGGACTTCCTAAAAACTCGTCTGTTGGACACACTGACAGAGCAGCTCACTAAAGTCACCAAGGTACCTAAGTTTCCCTTAAAGTCCTTCAATTTAACATAGTTTATAGACACTGTATGTAAATGAATCTGTATAAATCCACATCATCTATTTCTGAAGCGGCTGCTCAATGCGTACCATAGGTCCGTTCTAGAGCTGGAATGTAGATACAAAATTTGATTAGTGTCTAGTATATATTTCAGAGGTCATACATCGAGTCGTTCAGAAGATGGGAAGAAAAAAACGATTTCAATCATTACATTTGCATATTAAGTGAGTTTGTTAAGTCATGCATCAACCCGCAGCTAGTTTTTGTGATGATAAGGCCGCATGTGCTTACAAGAGTGAGCCTTCAGGGTAAAATGGTTGTCTCCATCATGAGGTAATCTTATCAATACTAGCTGCTATGGCAGACTTGCTGAGTTTTAAGAGATGAACAGCACCAAAGTGCCTCAGGGGAAAATAAGTACTAATTTTCAAGAATAAAATGGGGCAGCTGTGGCTCAGGGGGTTAAAACGGGTCTTCGGGTCTTAACCATAAGGTTGGCAGTTCAATCCCCGGCTCCTCCTGTCAATGTGTCCTTGAGCAAGACAGTAATCCTCGCTCCCCTGGCGCTCCACAGCAGCCCACTGCTTCTTATGCTTGGAATGGTTTAAATGCAGAGATCACATTTCATGTATGTACTTGCATGTATGTGACAATTGAAATAAGGCTTTTAAACATAAAATATTAAATTAAATTGAATGAAAGTGATATTATTCTGTGGATTACCACTCCGCTAAAATGAGTAAATCAGATTTTGTCTTATTCTGTGTGCATCTTTGTGTTTGTGTCTATTTGCATATGTACAAGTGGTTTATTACCAGCTGTATTGACTTACCATCAGTTTGCAGAGACACTAAAATTCAGTCAGTATCAAAACTGTGACAATTTACCTGTTTTATAAAAATATATGATCCTATCGTAATTTCTGTGTGGATTTTGTTAATACACCTGCGTTTCTATCACTCTCCATGCAGGTGGTGGACACACATACTCCCGGTAAGAAGGTGTGGCTGGGTGGACTGGGGCCGGCGTGGGCAGGAGGCCTCAGTAATCTCTCTGACACATACGCTGCTGGCTTTGTGTAAGTTCTGTTATCTAGCAGTTGTGGTGTGTTCTGTAGATAATGATACCTTGGATAATAATGAACCGAACCAGCTGCACAAGATAAGAAAAACATATTTGCTCCCAACGCTTTATGTATTGTTGGCAATTAAAGGCTCTGCTGTTAAATATTTATTTTCTGTGTGTTTGTGTTGATATCATTATTCCAGGTGGGTGAACGCGCTGGGTATGGCTGCTGTGCAGGGGATCGATGTTGTCTTGCGTCACTCATTCTTTGACTACGGATACACGCACCTTGTGGACCAGAACTTTAACCCTTTACCTGTGAGTCTCTCAATGTCAGTTCAACAACAATTAGAATGGCAATTGGTTGTCATTGTCACGGCCTCAGTTGACCCTTCTTCCTCATAATAACAAGGATCTGACCTGAGCAGTTCTGTTGCGCTCTGGTCGTTTTCTGTACCAGACCCAGTGCCTCGATGGCACGTCTCGCTCTTTCCCGTGGGAGCTATTAGGTGAGATGAAAGCCGTTTAGTGGCGATGAGTGCTTAGACGCGATGAGTGCTTAGACGCGGGGTGCTTAGACGCGGGGGCGAAATGCCATGTAACCTTAGCCTACCTTAGTCAGTAGCTCAGGACAGTGTCACTGCTCCCCTCAACCCCCATCACAACTGTGTGCTTCTCTGTGCGGGACAGTCGACCGGTGAGAGATCTGCAACCTGAGATGCTGATACACAGGCATGTTAGTAAAATAGCCTGCAACTCTGTGTGAAAAAGAACGGCCCAGTCCCAAGTTCCTCCATGGTTTTGTCATGCAGGGACAGAGATACAACAAGCTAAGTCCACAACTCTGAATTAGTCATCTGGTATACTAAATATATAAAAATATATTCAATTAGTTATTCATGATCTGCCGATAAAGGGGAAAGAATTCTAACAACATAGATGTGAAGAAAGCCAACTTTTGAAGTTGTCATGTTCCTTTATTGTACTCAAAGCTGTCCAAGATGTCCAATGGTAATTATTTTTCATTTTTAAGTCTCCGTCTCAAACTGATCTCATTTTGCGGGGGGGACAGGTAAGTGTTAAGTAGTTATCAAATTCTACCATGTGCCAAGTTCATAAAAATGATTTATCAAGTTTGTAAAATATGTTTCATATGTATCTGAGACAAAGCAGGGGTGAGAGGCTTACATCAAGGGCATGCACAGTGAATAACGTCTTCGACAATAAAGGAGAAAGATGATGGAATCAAACATTTGTTATTATTCAAGATCCTTTCATCCTTGCTGTGGTCAGAAATAGCTTCCAGAATGAGTATTGGCAATCCTAAAATACAATTATAACCACTAATGTTCTTTGGCTCATGAACTAATCACTTCTCCAAAATCTGACAATAATTTTGCATTATGTCCCTCATTAGTTCACTGTAGCTAGGCACTTTCTTCTGCCTCACTTCAACTATAAGATATTAAACAATCGAGATTGCTTCATTTTTCTTCCCTCTTTGTCTCCGTTATTTCTCTGGGAATTAAGGTCTCCCGCTAGAATTACAATGCTTTTAACATGGCGGGATATCTAAATGCTGCACCAGCTTACCTGCTGAGAGAAATTTGAGAACTGGGAAATGTATGACCTGGCCCCTTCTCCTATAGGAGGACTCCCCCATTGATACAATCCAGTTAAAACCCCCGCCCACTGAATGACTCAACCGCTTCACCTTTTTCCACATTTATCCTTTCCCTTTTCCTTACTTCACCATCTTCTCTTTTTTTCTCTGTTTTGTTTTGTTCACACTCCACTGGAGGCTGTTGTCTCCCGGGTTGTAAACTCCTAAAACTAAGTGAACAGAGATTTATTCTTTGAAAAACAGATATATTGCATAATGCTCCTGTCTGAAGAGATTGCCCATCAAATGCTCTGAAGAGAAAATATCTAATACAGTTGTCAACCCTCGCATACATCTCAGATACAAAGCAGGGAGATCTTGCCTCCGTCTCACCTCCCCATGTTGAACCCTCAGACTTGCAAACCTTCATGACTCTGCATGTTGTGCGTATACTTGTACCTATTTTTTACCTTTTCCTGGATATGTTTTTCTCTGTTTATTAACTTCTTCATGGATCTAGTTAAATTAAAAACACCGAAATGTTGAACTTCCCACTCAATGCAGTGTAATAGTATGACCTCATACTTAGATCTCTGGATCCTTGTGGATTAACAGCACCTCAACCGGTCTGGCTCTCATTTGTCCTACTTAGCTAAACATTAAAGGCTGATTTTTACTTTACTTTTAATTTTACTTTTCAACTTTGTTAGCATCATTATTCCCTTAAATGTGCACCTGAGGTGCGGTCTCTGGTGTATGTCTTTACTTTTCTTGAGTCTTTAGATTACTTGTGTTTTATCACATTGTGTCTTGGTCTATGTGGTGTTTGGATTGGATCTTTAAGTTATGGTTGTTCCTCCAGCTGATGTCTGTCTGTCTGGAGAGTTGGGGGCCAAAAAGACAGAATAACAGACCGTCAGACTGCTGAGGATTTAGGACCTCTGCTGATACCCCCCCCCCTCAACAAAAATTGATTTTATGTCTCACCAATTCCTTTTCAGGTAGGGAGTTTTAAAGGCACGGTAACACCAGCCAAGGCAATATTTGAGATGAAAGTTCACCAAAGTTTAAATCAATGCAAATGTATAGATGGGAATTTGCTTCGCCACTGGAAGCAAATGTTTTTTCACTCCTTTTGCTCGCATAGAATGGAAGTGAACGGGAGGTGAATGTTAATTTTGACCTTACCTTAACACACACCCGAAGTTTAAAAGATATCAATTCATTGCTGGTTTATTTTACTTGAGTCTTGACATTTAAACACAAAGCATGAGTATCGCATCAGTCCGGCCATCTTGCACGAATAAAACTCCAGACTTTTCTTTTTGTTTTGCGTTGTTTTATACACTATGTAATAATCATAGATCACAGTTCTGGCCATACATTCACCCATCCATCCCTCTGCCTGTGGCCAGCACTATACAGTTCCATACTGTGCTCTGCTTCTTCGATGCCTTGGCAGCAAATTAAGTTAAAGCTTGCATGGAAAAAAGAAGCCCTTAAATGTTGCCATATGCAGGATTGCATGGGAACTTCCTGAGGAACACATGTTGTTCTGGGTCTCTTGGAGAGGTGTTGAGTCTGTAGAGTGAGACACAGTATGGTGGACCACTCAACATAAAACAGCAATTCATGATGGAGCATAATATTTTGTACAAATGTCATATTTAAGACCTGTCAATTGTAAACCGGTCAGCGGTTGTTCGATACAATGTGACATGTTACATGGGGCTATCGGCTCCAACTAAATGTTTTAAGTGTCAAAGTGCTGACATATTTGGACTTGACATTTTGTGTGGAATATATCTCTTTTTTTCACCCCGTCACAAACCAACTGCTTTGTTGACACATTCTTAATTTTCACAGTTTGCAAAACTTAATCTACAATCACCAGGACATTTCATGGCTGAAAAAACAAAATGGAGATTTGAGCAATATTTCCTTTCATGGGAATCCGATCCACCATTGCTGTGATGAATGGTCTCCTTAAATAGAAAATATTATGTTAGATTGACCCTTGTATTTCACTAAAGTAGAGTTGGCAATACCTTTAAACTGTTTCGCATGCCTTCAGTCAAATCAGATCTTTAAAACTTCCTTTCCAGACCTACCTGTTTTTGCTTTGTATCTTAAAACAACAACCGGGTGAATCCTGTCCTGAGCATTATGATGATAAAATGAACCAATACTGTCATAAAAGTAATGTAACCAAATGCGTGTGTGTGTGTGTGTGTGTGTGTGTGTGTGTGTGTGTGTGTGTGTGAATGTGATGGTGTTGCCTTTACAGGATTACTGGGTCTCTCTGGTCTTCAAGCGTCTGGTTGGTCCAAGGGTTTTGGCTGTGCGGGTGGCTGGACTGCAGAGGAAGCCGCAGCCAGGACGAGTCATACGAGACAAGCTACGTATCTACGCCCACTGTACTAGCTACTACAAGTACGTGCTGCAGCTTACCCACCTTGGATTAGTTTCTAACCTGCACTTAAACACGGCAATAGTGTACATTATAATGATACACCATGACTTTCATCTCTTTTTTTTTTTCATTTGAAGCTGACAGATGACAAAGCACCCATCCCCTCAGTCTTTCAGTGATGTGTAGCAATACTTGAATCTCCTTGAAGATTTAGATGGAAAACAGACTGCTGCGGATTTAACTTTTTCTACTCCCTGCTTCCTGCAAACACCTTAAGGCTCAGTGTCTGGTGGGGACGAACAAAATCCCCAGCCGGCCCATTTGGCTTCCCATAAATAAGCAGACCACAGACACCCGCTCTTTCACAGCTCAGAGCCTATAAAACTTAACGGGTATCACTTATCAGGTGTGTGGGTTCTGTCTCCCTTCCGTCAAAGAGACGCTGAAAGGTGTACGAGGCCTTTATCCCATCTCGGATTGGCTGGAGGGGGGTATGTGAGGGGGAGGGACAATAAGGCGGTCTGTGCCGAGAGGAGATAAAGAGTGCCACCATGACCTGTTCAAGGTTATCATTTAACCCAGTGGCTGTCAGCACCAGGCTAGATTTACGGCCTTATTCTAGACAGGGCTCGTTTACAGGTGGAGCATCTCTTAGAAAAACAGTGGAGTGCTGCACAGATAGATGGTTGATAACTGGGCAGGAGTTGCATAACCAACACACACATGAGGCCTGATGACATGCATGCAAATATTTTAAATACTTTTCAACAAGTCGCTTGGGAGGAAAGAGATGCCCATGCCATGCGGTGCAGCTCAGCTCCACTCAACACACCAATCAGCCATGGACTCATATAGGATCAGACAGCAAAGCACTAAAGCGGTCCATCTTAAATTCAAAGTTTCAGTTGCCATTATTTCTGCCACTTTGTGGTTTTACACAGTCAGCCCTTAAGTGGACGAACCATTGTAGTCTTAGTGGTTTGACTATACTGGGTGAGACAGCAAAGATTGTAAATGTGCTCAGCCAGTCAGTGGTTTGGAAAGTCTTTACAGATTTCATATTTGACTTTCACTGCCCTTTTACCCCTTTTAGTGGTTTGCGTGGTAATTTTTTTTTCACTTTCCAGCAACGCTCTAAACATCAAACAGCATCAACACATGTTTATGTTCCCAGTTTGGATCTCTAAGAACCTCATCATTTAAAAGGCCTGAGAGGTCATTATCTCTCCCTCCATCTAACCATCTGATCTATCCAGGTTTCTCAGAAACAAGGCTGCAAGAGTTTAACACAGAGCCTGACACACAGCGTTCCCATCAACAGTACCCTACTTTATTTCTCTCTGTAAATATATTGGCAGTCCTGCAGGGTTGATAAAAAAAAATGGCTCAGCCCGAACCCAAAAGAATTAAGATAAACATCGAACCAAAAACCGAGATTGCTTTATAGATATGAGATTTTGGAGGTGGTAACTGGGAGAGATGTCTACCAGCCCTGACCCTGAACACTAAGGCCGACATGTGGTATTCACTACATCTGTGTTGTCTTTGTCCTCATATCTGGGCCCTTATTAGATTTTATCATGTTTGTCTTATCTGTCCCGCTTAGTTATTTACCTCTGGCCAAGTATCGCTATCAAGTTGTGTCCCCAGTGCTTTGCTCTCAGGAGAGGGACTCAATCACTGTTGTCTGTGTAACTCAAGAAGTGTTGCTCGTCGCATTCATCTGACCCCTGGGCTACACAGCGACAGGTTTTAATATTGGATACTGTACAAGAGAAGCAGATTTTTGCAGCAGATAGCCTTTACAGGGATGATAAAGGCTTTGAAAATGAAATGTGGTTTATTATGGTTCATACTAAATATAGATAATAACTCGCTGGTAAATGGAATTCCATTCTCGAGCATGCTTTATCTTAGTATATTATTTTTTTGCAAGCCTTTTGATCCAGATTAGATCAAGGAGTTTCGGTTTGATCCTCTTACTATATGTGATAAAAAAATATCAAAGGCTTTCTTTTCTTTGTAGTCATCTTTAATTATAGAGAATTCTATCCAACATGGAAATGTAATTTATAATGAATCCCCATTAGCAGATGTGAAGAAGAGCCTTTTTCCTTTCAGATTGTCTTTTCTTAACGTAAAGGAAGATTAATGTGATTTTCATCATTTTCTTTACAACACCAGTCATAACTATGTGCGAGGGTCCATAACAATCTACATCATCAACCTGCATCGGTCGCGAAAGAAAATCAAGTTGGCCGGGACGTTACGGAACTATACCGTCCATCAGTACCTGCTGCAACCCTACGGCACTGACGGACTCAGAGCCAGGTTAGTATCTCTCTTTCTCTCGCGTATCTGAAAACCGCGGCTGAAGTAGTTTTCAAAAACAAATTATGTTTGCAAATGTGTGAAAGGCGTTGAGATGATGAACAGGGATAATAGGAATTTCATAAACAACTTTATGGGTCTTTGATTATTTTATTTTTTTCCAATTTTTAACTGGCACGTAAAAACGCTGCATGGACTTCATTTTAAGACAACCGTGGTTGTTGGACTGAGCTATATAATTCACACTGAGTCGGCATTTTGTTTGAATACATAATCAAATATACGCTTACATGCAATAACTTCTTCCTGTCGATATAGATTGTAGATAGCTTAAGACAACATAAAGAATAATACGAAAAAAGCAAATGAAGAATAAACCCTGTTCCAATTTCAATGGAGAACCACATTGCACTGCTTTCCTGAAACTGAAACTTGCAAACATAGTTTTATTTTTCATTTTTTATTTTGTCAATGTGGCATAGACAAAAGTGTAACGAAATATAAGGACACATGACGTATGAAACAGGAACTATAATTTGAATATGGTGCAGATTTTTAGTTGTTTTCGTGAGTGGGAGTATTGAAAGTGTTTGCTTGCATGTATTGAGTGTGAAGTGTAAGTGCCAACTTTTAAACTCCTTCACAGAGCTCCAATGTGTTAACGCCCCTTTGTTTGAATGTGTTTGTATAGCCTGCGACGGATGTTTTATCAATGCATTTATTATTTCCTTTCATATTTAAACTCATAAGTAGTTTTTACTATGATATATTACACTTCATGTATCAAGGTAATACAAGTCGTATTGCCTTAAAACATCCCTTAAAATGAAAAGTTCATGCTTTCAGTCTCTTCCTCTCATTTAAGCTTCTGGCCTGTTATTCTGAGACGGACTTGAGCCTCAAATCCTGAAATAACAGTCCAATGACTCAGGGCTGTGTGTGTGTGTGTGTGTGTGTGTGTGTGTGTGTCTGTGTGTTATACGATGCCGACATAGGGCCTTAATGGCGGCTCAGGCATGATCCTTCAATAACAACATAATGACGGAGGATGTTTCAGGTGTTAGAACAGGATTACAAGGCAATTAATAGAAAAGAAAGCTAACGATGGGCCTTTTTCAGGCCTTAAGTGCTTTCCTTTACCACAGGCAGCGCAGACTAGACTTTTATGAAGAATTTAGCAACACCAGATGTCTATAAATTTGTCTGAGAAGTGGGACTTTATAATGCTGGCCAAGTATTCAGTTCCATGCATGTTCAAGGAAAGCTTTGAGCAACTTTGATTTATAACTTCTTCATATTGAGCACAATTTTATTTGATATTTTATTGAATTTAAGGTTCACGTAAAAACATCCAGACCATTGGCCTCAATCCTTATACTACTGTGAACTTTACTGTATAACAATGTAATAAAAATATGGTTACTAATAACAGCAGCACTTTAAAGTTGAAAGGTTGTGTGTTGGTAATGCAATGCAAATACAGTTTAAGGAGATAATTTCTCTTCAGAGCATGATTTATTATATGTTATATTTAATAATAAAAAGGCCCTTGCTTCTCTGTTATGCAGGAAGTTTCATGAAATATTCCTGCTGGATTTTTAAAGTCTTATTAATTATTGTATAATCTTTGTGTGTTAATTACCCCTATATTTTACCCATAATTCATTTGTTAAAAAGTGCACCTTAACTTACAACTGTGACATGTTATAGCTACTCCAGTAATATTTCATAATCTATTTCATATTTTTTTATATTCTAAAAGGTTTTTTTTATGCTAAAAGAGTTCAAAGGGAAAAAAAATATTTTTTAGCTGTTTAGCACAATTTTCTTCAACTTTTCTTGTTGAATGTACAGTATTATACCAACTTGTCTGTGTCTCACGCAATGGTGATTTTAAGGAAGATGAGAAATTAGATTGCATTGAAATAAAAATTTGAACAATTTGTTTTTAAAAGCTGTATTTCCAATATTCTCATTAGTACTGCAAACGATTTTGTAGCTCTATAGCTCGTACAACAAAGAGTATAGTCGTGAATGTTGCAGAAGTAGAATATTTTCTTTGCTTGAAGTCTTAAAAATTCACTATTTCAGTGCAGCTGACTCAAAACGGTTCACTCTGCAGATTCCACTCATTTGCAATTTTGTAACAACAGCGCCTTCAAGTGTACATTTGACAGAATCAAAACCCCGAAAGACTGGAGCTGCATTTTGCTGTCTTTTGTTGATTAGGTGAAAAACGTTATTAACGGACACATCTTTATTTGACATTTATTTGTGTCAGAAGGCAGGTGAAGAAAATGTTATCTCACTTAACTAATGCGGTCTGTATTTCCGTTTTTCAGATATGTCCAGCTGAACGGGGAGAAGCTGCTCATGGTGGACAATGAGACATTTCCAGAGTTGAAGCCTAAGACATTGAGGGCTGGACGGACGATAGCCATGCCTCCCTTGACCATAGGCTTTTACGTCATCAAAAACATTAACGCATACGCCTGCCGAAGATAGCACTGACCCACAAACCGTCTTTTACCCACAGCTTAAAAACTGTGTGGCTCTTCCTTTTTTCCCACCTCTCTGGGAAAACACAGGAGGTCAGAATACCACTTTGTTAGGGTTTTTGTGTCTTGCTCAAGGACACTTCAGGAGAGTGTACACTTGGCTTGATTACAATACAGTCCTTTAGTTTACCAACAACCTCTTCCACCATTATTTCAATGGTAATATTTAAATTACAAATAAACCCGGACTTTTCCTTGTTGTCTTCTCTGCTCCGACAAAGAAAGACTTGCCCAAAACACATCAAAAGGGCTGCACTGAACACTTTTCAATTCTTTTCACCAGCAACTCCTCATATGCCACAAGATTTGTATGGACAGTGATTGTTTTGTGGTTTTGTACGGAGTTATGCAATATCATAAAAGTCCACATTCTTTGACTTGATTAAGCTATGTTTTCTTCTCTTGGATTGTATAACCTAGAGTTTATCTCTGTGTCTGCCAAGAATTTTCTTTTCTTCTAATCTTTCAGTGACCAACTGAGAGAAAACTCATAATAGCATACACACGTCAACTTCAGTTTGAGTTGATCATTTCCACAAAGAGAAAGATGCCATGGTGTGTGTATAAGGCCATTCCTGGACAAGCTAAGTGCTATGGATGAGTGTGTGTGTATGCATGTGTTTTATTGATAAAGCTACTGATGTGTCTCTCCAGTCTGTTTTGCCTCTGAAAGTATACGTATCTTCCCTTTCCATATCAAGTGGCTTCAAGGGAAGATCTGTTTCTTTTAAACACTGTATGTTGTGTGTATCATTGCTTTTCTGCTGCAGGTTTCTAGTGTTGTGTAGCAGCGATGCATAGCTGAAGAACAGTGTGAACCCATCCACAATATCTGGCCTCAAATGCAGCCTGCATCCAGACAAAATCTGGGTTTTGCTTTCATTTCAAAAAATTCAAAAATACCAGTTTTTCTCACTATCTTCAGTGTGATCTCACGTTTTATAATCCTCTTATGCTGCTAGGGTTTTTTTGTACTAAATATACATTATATATTTTACATAATTTTGTACAGATTTACTGTCATATATTATTAGATCATGTATTGTACATAAAGAGAGTGTTGAAAATAAGTGATTTAAGCTTGATATGTTTACTTACACACAGTACACATCTAATTTATACTTTGCTTTGTCTTTATATTTCTATTATAAAAGTCTCTGTTATGTTAGTGGTACTAATGCCCCAACTCTAAAGAAAAATCTAAAATATTTTGTAATGAATAATTGTGTGATTGATGCAAGTGTCAGAGGCACTGACATGTTTCTTTTTGCAAGAAAAGGAGTTATAAGATGGTTTATGATTCACAACCTATGTTTCACATTTATTGAAGTTTCATTTCACAATATTTTATCATCTAATATATAGATTGGCTTCTTATTTTCAAGACTAAAACCAAAGAGTGAGTAAAGACGTCATTGTGTTTCTACACTCTTACACGGGGGAACATAAGCGGGAGCAGGTTCCGTACCCGAACGTGTTAAATTTTAAGAATATTTGTTCATAGTTGATGTAGAGATGTTCATATTTCTTTTTGAGAGCATTATTTTAATATGTAAAGTGTGCCTGTATATTATTTTTTCTTACAAAAAAGTTTAGATTGATAATAAACACCTACAAATACCTAGGAAGTTGTATTTGTTTTGTATAAGCTTCACTCACTGTGTCAAATTCACCATGACACAATTTGCACTAAAACAAGAAATGCATTCCTACTCAGATTTTGAACAACATTAAACTCTGTTTGTAAACTCACTAGTTGCATACATGAGACAGCTTCGTCCCATCGTGTGAATTAACATTGAGCAATGACTCTTCAGTGGTTCTCGGGATATAACAGAGATGTGCAGAAGCACATGGTCTCAAGGAACAGAAACAAAGAGAAGAGAGGCTATGATATATGCCCACATGGGAGCACAAAGAAAAGCAGATTTGCCCTCCGACAGAAAGAAACTAATAATATAAACTGCCACATTCGAGCAGCATCCTTACACTCTTACACACATGCACAAACTGTTACACTCTGAGGCCCCAGATGTGGAAACAGCTGGAGCAAGTCTTTGTAGTGGGAAGAGTGCTGTCTTGTCCCTGCATGAGACAGCTGCTGATGGGAAACATGAAGCCAGGATGGGGCTAAACCTCCAGACCTCAGCTTTGGCCCAGACAGACTGAACCTGGGCCAAACCTGGCTCAGTGTCTGCTGATGCATAGACAACTGGGATCTGCTTGGTAGGGTCATGTCAAAGGGAGATGAAGGATCTTGTGTGCACTTTGACTAAAATGTTTGATCAGTTTCTCCCAGACGAGCATGGTATGTAAAGACTGCACTGATTTATATAGAAAGCAATACAAAAGGCTTGAACTGTACTGGATTTTCATGACAGTGAGTCATTAACACTGGCGGCCCATCAAGAGCCATGATCCAAAGCATGTACCTTTAATTATGTTTTGTTTTGTTAAGTTCCATTCATGGGAAATGGGCTTTTATGTATTTAGCAGAAACGTTTGGTCTCAGAAATGAACTACAGGAACAGTCTCATGCTCACTCGCATGCGGTTCATTTCAAACAGGCCAACATTGTTGACACATAAGAATCCAACTAGACTCGTTAACGCCTGGTCCATTTAATCGAGGGTCTCACGAGAAGAGAAAAACATTATTCATCATACCACGAAGGCCATACTTGTGTGCACATTTAGATGAATGTGTAAACATGCTTTATTTTTAAAGCACATGCAAACCTGGAAAAACCGAGTGAGAGAGCAGACGTGCGAATGTACAGAGAGAGCAGGAATTGGGCTGCACTTTCTCAAGAAAATTGCTTGAAATCGGTTGTCAGTGTTCGTTTAAAGTGCTCTTAGATCAATCACATGTTTGATACATACAGGAGAATTTAACCGTGTGCCAGAGCAACAGATGATCTTAATAATTTCTACTTTGAAACGATAGCTTACTAGAATAAAAAGTAAGTTTGTTGAGTAAATTGAGTACTTGACCTGTAAGTAATAACTGACCAAAGCAATATCGAGCAATGAGGCCTTATAGTGACATTCAGGATTGTATCAAGCCAATCCGTAGAAACGGTTTGGTTTGGCAGACTTCATATACCCCTCTACCTTGTGATAACAACTGCTGAGCGTCACTTCCACCGGCGAAATCTAATTGTGTTGTGATTTAGTCCAACTGCGCCGTATCTGGCCACTTCTGCGTGACAGTGCCTCTTTAGTGGAGGTAACTGTTACCCAGGCCTGCCTAACACTGTTTACACTCGGTGATCCATTTTGAGACATGCAAGGCCCCCTTCCCATGTTAGCATACACTGAGGATTTCATGATGTTTACTCTGTATATACAGGAGTCAGCTTAAATAAGACTTCCATGAACGCTGGATCCCCAGAAAACCGATGGACTAGATTAGACTTTGGCCCACAACGTAGAATTCTCTTGGCATTTTGGACCATTTTGACCCAAGCAAGTTTAATAAAACATAAATATTTATGTTACTATGAGGTTCTTTGCTGCGCTCAGAAGCCAAACATACAATCTGTGCTGGATATTGTGATACAACACAGATTTGTTGTAGCCATCAAAACATTCTCTGAGAAACAGCCTAGTGTTTGGTGAGTGTATATCTGTGTATATGCAGCATATATGTAATGTATGTCTGCTAAGTTGCTCCCTCGATGAAACAACTAATATTTATGGGAGGTACAATATTGAGTTTATAGTGTATTGAAAATTTATTATCTCTCCTATATAATTTGTTTTTTGTTACCCATAGTAGTGTGTTAATGTTTTGCTTTGCAGGTCCATGTATATGTTTGGAAAGCCTTAAGCAATCAATTCATAACTTCTCCCTATGATAATAATTGTATTTTATGTTCCAAATTCATGTAAATAAAAATAATCCAGGCCAACAATCATCAATCTTTGTATTATTGTGATCTTTATAATGTCTCTTGTTCCTCTGTATGTAAAAAGTAAATAAAATACAGTAATGGTGTGTTCAGATGTTGTTGTGTTTCGTGTTCACACACATGTTGCTCGTGGATTAATTTATTAGGCCTACTTTTCTTAGAGTTTTTGCCCAACGTGGTCAAATCTCAATCACCTCCATTAAACTGCATTCCACAAATACCAAACTGTCTCAACAGCGCAGCCTCTCAGTCATGCGCCGCACTTTAGGCACCAGCACGTGACTTGTTCCTGCGTCGCTGATCACCAGGCTCCTCGAGGAGGGCAACCCATTGATGAGAAAATTCACATTTACTACAAGCAGTCTTACAAGGTTCCCCATAGCGTGATATCTCTGTTTTCAGATCAGCGCACACTTCCTGCTGCTGGCGTCACATGACCCAGCGATGTGTGTTGTGGGAGGAAGCAGGTTGGGTTTGAGACCAGATAGCAGCCGCGAGGAAAGCGTCCACGAGCTGAGGAGAGCTGACGTTTTGGACAACAGAGACACTGGACTGAGATGCTGGGACCACCCGTCGCAGAAAACGCAGAGTGAGTCGTGACATGAAGTGTAACAGGCTTTGTTTTGTACGTGGGACAGTCGGCGAGCATCGAGGAAGGTAAAAGTCTGGTAAGGGGAAGTAACGGAGGGCTCCAGGTAAAACACGGGATGTAGTTTACGGATCGGAACTGCTTCAGATAATAAAGGCATCAGCTGAAATAAAGCCTGTGACCTACATACAGGCCCATACGGTCAGTGGTGTAGGAGGTATTATTCATATCCTTTACTGAAGTAAAAGTACTAATACTGTAAAAATACTATAGTAAAAATAATAAAGTCCTGCATTGAAAATGTCACCTAAAGTAAAAGTAGCCCTATGTAAGTATTACAAGTAATATAACTCAATGCAGAAACATGTCCTATTATACATGTTATATCATTGATTGTCATTATTCATGTATTAATGTCAAAGCAGGATTTTACTGTAGATTTTGTATCAGACTGCGACTAATGAATATTTTCATAATGCATTAATCTACTGATTATTTCCTTCATCAACCAAATGTTTGCTTGGTTTATGAAAAATACTGAAAAGAGTCCAAAGTGATACCTTCCCCCAAATGCTTGTTTAGTCCAACCAATTGTACAAAATTCAAAATGATTAAAAATTAATTAAAAGGATGAACAAAAAATCAGCACATTTGTGATGCTTTTCCATGAAAAATGTCTTTCAAAATAGTTTCCAATAAATTTTTGTGTCGATCGACTTCAGCTGTTGTATATACTGTTTGGTAGTTTAATTTATAAGAAAATATATTTCATAAGCTCTTTATATGCACAAATCTTAATTTCTAAAGTAACTACAGCTGTCAGATAAATGAAGTGAAGTACAATATTTCACTCTGAAATATAGTGGAGTAGAAAGTACCTCAAAATTCAATGCACTTGAGTCAATATACTTAGTTACATTCCACCAACTGCAAATAGTTACACATGTAATTGAGGGAAAATCTGTAAATGTATGAGTTTGTACCTTTTGTGTCATGTCTGACTTCACGTGTACAGTCAATATTAGATACAGCAGATATCAGGTTATCAGTACTGGGTTCGTTTCAAAATAATTTCACAACACGCACACTCACGGCATATTAACATGATGGTCAGCACTGCAGGCTGTGTGCACAACTTTGATGATGATTGGCAAAATGAAGGAAGTGTTGCAATAGCAAGTGTTATGCCTTCATATGATGGTGAGACGAGACCAGAAAGATTTCACAGTGGTATTTCCTAACGATCATTATTTAATTAAACACCTTTTGCGATTTTGTTTTGTGATGTAAGTACGAGTCCAAATGTAGTCCACTACCTTACAAGGAGTTGTTAGGAATGAAACAAAAGGTACTCTGTACTAAATGGAAAAGATTGTGAGTTTAGTGTATTAGCGATTAGTCTGGAGTAAGCCGATTTCAGAGAGCAAAAAGTTTACAAAGCTCAGTCACCAACATTTCATCTAATCAAGTCTGATATCACCAGCTCTCCAAAGATGACCCAGTGCCTCACAACGCTTACAAATCATTAAAAAAAACCTTTCCTTTCCTTTCCTTAGAATACAACTCGTCGGTGAACGGGTATACAGTGGACTCTTACATGAGCGTTGACTGACAGCCTCCTGGAATCCCTTACAGTTGGCATTTTTGCCACTGACCTTACTCCCACCAGAGGTTGTCATTGATACAACATCAGCTCTTAGATCCCGTTTATTTTAGGTCAAAGAACAATGGAGTGTGGAGAAAAAGTTTCTCCTTGCTTTCAGTTTCTCCAGTGGCTACAGTATTATAAATACTGTTCCAGACTCTGTTTTATATCTTTTGCTTCTGTACTTTTGACCTTTTTCTTTGTAGCATAATGCACGCGGAGAGGTTGGAGTGAATAGGACGGCACAGCGAAGCAGGACTGGAGTGAATCTGTGGTCCAGATGAAGTGCTTGCTGATAGCCAGTGAGAGCGCCGAGGTCCTCTTCCACTGGACTGACCCAGAATTTCAGCAGAATGTCCAGGAGCAATATGGGGCGTCTCA